GGAATTTACTCATTGTCTAGGCTTACACAATCTTCACCACCACTATACCTCACACAACCTTCTGCTATTCTACCTTCACCATACCTCACACAACTTTCTGCTATTCTACCTTCACCATCACTTTACCTCACATAACCTTCTGCTATTCTACCTTCACCATCACTTTACCTCACATAACCTTCTGCTATTCTACCTTCACCATCACCATCACTTTACCTCACATAATCTTCTGCTATTCTACCTTCACCATCACTTTACCTCACACACCCTTCTGCTATTCTACCTTCACCATCACTTTACCTCACACAACCTTCTGCTATTCTACCTTCACCATCACTTTACCTCACACAACCTTCTGCTATTCTACCTTCACCATCACTTTACCTCACATAACCTCCTGCTATTCTACCTTCACTTTACCTCACATAACCTTCTGCTATTCTACCTTCACCATCACTTTACCTCACACAACCTTCTGCTATTCTACTTTCACCATCACTTTACCTCACACAACCTTCTGCTATTCTACCTTCACCATCACTTTACCTCACACAACCTTCTGCTATTCTACCTTCACCATCACTTTACCTCACATAACCTTCTTCTATTCTACCTTCACCATCACTTTACATCACACAACCTTCTGCTATTCTACCTTCATCACTTTACCTCACATAACCTTCTGCTATTCTACCTTCACCATCACTTTACCTCACACAACCTTCTGCTATTCTACCTTCACCATCACTTTACCTCACATAACCTTCTGCTATTCTACCTTCACCATCACTTTACATCACACAACCTTCTGCTATTCTACCTTCACCATCACTTTACCTCACACAACCTTCTGCTATTCTACCTTTACCTCACATAACCTTCTGCTATTCTACCTTCACCATCACTTTACCTCACATAACCTTCTGCTATTCTACCTTCATAATCACTTTACCTCACACAACCATCTGCTATTCAAACTTCACCATCACTTTACCTCACATAACCTTCTGCTATTCTACCTTCACCATCACTTTACATCACATAGCCTTTCTACCCATTCAGAGACAGGAGGCAGAGGTGATACCACACATCTCTGGTGGAAAATTGGCAGCGGCAACTCAAGTGTTGCGCACAATTGGCCTAGCGTTGTCCAGGGTAGGGGAGGTAATGGCCGGCAGGGATGTAGCTCAGTTGATAGAGCATGGTGTTTGCAATGCCAGGGTTGTGGGTTCAATTCCCATGAGGGACCAGTATGAAAAAAAATTTTTACAATAAAAAACAAAAAAAATAATAATATATGTATTCACTAACTAAGTCGCTCTGGATAAGAGCGTCTGCTAAATGACTAAAATGTAAATGTAAAGTGTTACACAGAGAAATTGAAGGCCGTAGCCATACATCACGACAACGACATGACAAAATAGCCACCTTTCACTGACGCAAGTGGCTTCCATCATGCTACAACAGTTACAATGCTAATATCAGACCGACAAACCGACTGTCAGTAAGCTTTGGTCCGACACAAGCAATCTACTCTCAATGAGAGAGAGAGATTAATGTGCCATTATTAAAATGGCCTTTGTCAATTCTGTTATGAATAGGTCTGACAGGTTTAATCTAGTAATCACACAAACCGGTTTTAACGTTCATAGACTTGATATCTGTCAAGCCTGATCAACACTGAGCTGAAAATGAGAGCGATGATGTTTATATATTTATAACTCCCTTTAATCCCTCCTGTCCTTCGATACACAGATGGATTGTAGCAGAAATGTGTCAAATAACACCTCTAGAGAGTGAAAAAAGGTTATTCTGGGTTAAACATTACAACTCCTTACAGGACAAAGCACACTGCAAGCTATTGGACGAGGAGGAGAACCACAAGTTTCTGTGTTCAAATGGGGGAGAGAGAGAGAGACAGAGATGTCTTGTGTTCAATATGGATCACTAATGGTTGTGTACCAAGCTTGTAATAGCACATTCTTTAGTAACACACACCTCACCTTAGTGTCAGCTGAATTTCACATTCTATTGAACCACATGTTCTCCAGCCCTGAGTCATATTCCGCACATCCCTGTCCATCATCACATCAGGAAACAACATCATGTTCTAGACTTATCCACATCAGGAAACAACATGTTCTAGGCTTATTTATCCACATCAGAAAACAACATCATGTTCTAGGCTTATCCACATCAGGAAACAACATCATGTACTAGACCAGCCAAACATTTTGTTACATAAAAGTCAATGTAAATTTTTTTTGACTGCTTAAAAATATCAACCAGACGTATCCCCTGAACGCAGAAGTGAGAACAAACAAGATTAACTAACTCAAATCCCAATATGGGAGGTCCACCAAAGTCCCAATAATGAGCAATGGAGTGTTCACTGAGGATAGCTTGGGTTTTAGGAAAACACAAAAAGGACGCTGAGAATGCATGTGTGAAGTTGCTGACACCTTCCTTGAAGGTAAACAAAAAGATGAGCTCAGGGAAAAGATCAAAAACAGATCCCACTGTCAAATTCCACAGCAATGAGGAGAACTGAAATATTAGATGAAGATTTAACTTCACAACTTGATGAGGTCATTCAGAATGCACCATGCATTTCATTAGCTGTGGATGAATCAACAGATAACACTGATAATGCCCAGCTTCTGGTGTTGGTCAGATTTTATGACAAAACAAAGAAGGAATTCTGTGAGGAGCTGTTGGGCTTAACAAATCTAGAAGCACACACACGGGGAGAGGATATCCATGAGGCCATCAAAGGGATGCTGACAAAAAGGGGGAATAGATCTGAAGTCGGTGGTCTCCATCACCACAGATGGAGCTCCAGCCCATGATAAGAAGAGGGAGGGGACTGGTTGCATGTTTGAAAGAGGACCACCCTGACCTGACATCATACCACTGCATCATCCATCAATCTGTCCTGTGTGCCAGTCTGGGAAAATAGTATTCTGAGGTCATGACAACGATGATAAAACTGATCAACTTTTTGAGAGCAACATCATCCCTATAACAGCGCCTGCTACGAGGCATTCTGACAGAGGCCAATGACAGTTTTGATGACTTACTACTGCACAACAATGTCAGATGGCTCAGCAAAGGCAGGGTTTGGGAACGCTTTTGGGCCATTCAAGAGGAAAATCAAAGCTTTCTTATCAGAGCAAAAGAGTGACAAGGCAACTCAGTTTTCTGAATTTTTGGAAGATGAGAAGATGGAAACAGTTGAATTTTTTGACCGACATGACATCACACCTTAAATCAACTGAATGTTAAGCTGCAGGGACGGGCCAACACAGTGTGTGGTATGATAACAGCAGTCCGGGCTTTCCAGAAGAAATTGGAGCTTTTCAAGAAATGATCTCCAAGTAGAACTTCCCTGATCTTCTGGCCCAAACGCAGGGAGGTAAAGATGTTCCCAACCAGGTTGATGTGGCATCACTGCAAATGGAGTTGATTGAGCTGCAAGAAAATGTGTCTTTGAAGGAGCAAGCTGGTGATTGTGACCCCGTCACTTTCTGGGGAAAGATGGTGTGAATCAACCTTCTCCACAATGAACTTTATTAAAAACAAATACCGCACCAGGCTCACCAATGAACACCTGCACCAGTGTCTCAGAGTTGCTGTCACACCATTTGTGCCAAAGTTCAAAGCATTGGCAGGAGAGAAAGTGTAATTTCTCTCATTAATGCAGGGAAAGGCCCAGAGGGATTTATACATGAATATTGCATGGCCCACAGTTACGTTCTGTGCATTCAGATGATTACTTTTGTTCAACTGTCCTTTGTTCTCCAGAAAACATGCACTTATATATATATTTTTTTTTTGTACATTTTTTGTACATTTACATTTAAGTCATTTAGCAGACACTCTTATCCAGAGCGACTTACAGTTAGTGAGTGCATACACACACACACACACACACACACACACCCCCGTTCAAAAGTTTGGGGTCACTTAGAAAATGTCCTTGTTTTCGAAAGCAAAGCCTTTTTTTGTCCATTAAAATAACATCAAATTGATCAGAAATACAGTGTAGACATTGTTAATGTTGTAAATGGCTATTGTAGCTGGAAACGGCTGATTTTTTATGGAATATCTACATAGGCGTACAGAGGCCCATTATCAGCAACCATCAGTCCTGTGTTCCGTTGTGTTTGCTAATCCAAGTTTATCATTTTAAAAGGCTAATTGATCACAGTGAAGAGGCAACTCCGGTCCACACACACAGGTCCTCAACTGGCAGCTTCATTAAATAGTACCCGCAAAACACCAGTCTCAACGTCAACAGTGAAGAGGCGACTCCGGGATGCTGACCTTCTAGGCAGAGTTGCAAAGAAAAAGCCATATCTCAGACTGGCCAATAAAAATAAAAGATTAAGATGGGGCAGTCTGAGAAGGGAGTAGTACACAGCGTTGTACGAGAACTTCAGTTTCTTGGCAATTTCTCGCATGGAATAGCCTTCATTTCTCGGAACAAGAATAGACTGACGAGTTTCAGAAGAAAGTTATTTGTTTCTGGCCATTTTGAGCCTGTAATCAAACCTACAATTGCTGATGCTCCAGATACTCAACTAGTCTCAAGAAGGCCAGTTTTATTTATTGCTTCTTTAAAATCAGCACAACAGTTTTCAGCTGTGCTAACATAATTGCAAAAGGGTTTTCTAATGATCAATTAGCCTTTTAAAATGATAAACTTGGATTAGCAAACACAACGTGCCATTGGAACACAGGACTGATGGTTGCTGATAATGGGCCTCTTAAAAATCAGCCGTTTCCAGCTACAATAGCCATTTACAACATTAATAATGTCTACACTGTATTTCGGATCAATTTGATGTTATTTTAATGGATTTCTTGTTATTAACTATTAATTTATTCCATTGCATCAGACAATCTCAATCAAGCACGGCTAAACTATCTGAAAGAAAACAATTTATTTGAACTCGGGTGTGGATGGACCAGTGCCCAGGGGTCAGATAGGAATGACGTCACCTGTCAGGAGACACTGCCTGGGGGCTCTAGACAGACAGACAGGCTCACAGGAAACACTGTCTGGGGGCTCTAGACAGACAGACAGACAGGCTCACAGGAAACACTGTCTGGGGGCTCTAGACAGACAGACAGGCTCACAGGAAACACTGCCTGGGGGCTCTAGACAGACAGACAGGCTCACAGGAAACACTGCCTGGGGGCTCTAGACAGACAGACAGGCTCACAGGAGACACTGGGGCTCTAGACAGACAGACAGGCTCACAGGAAACACTGTCTGGGGGCTCTAGACAGACAGACAGACAGGCTCACAGGAGACACTGCCTGGGGGCTCTAGACAGACAGACAGGCTCACAGGAAACACTGTCTGGGGGCTCTAGACAGACAGACAGGCTCACAGGAGACACTGGGGCTCTAGACAGACAGACAGGCTCACAGGAAACACTGCCTGGGGGCTCTAGACAGACAGACAGGCTCACAGGAGACACTGCCTGGGGGCTCTAGACAGACAGACAGGCTCACAGGAAACACTGCCTGGGGGCTCTAGACAGACAGACAGGCTCACAGGAAACACTGCCTGGGGGCTCTAGACAGACAGACAGGCTCACAGGTGACATCAGATACAATTTGAACCCAGGTCCGCTACATTGGTGACATGCCAAGGGATGTCCCACTGACTAGGGCGGGGGTTGGCAACAGGCAGGGGTCGCCAATCTCTTATTGGGCTTAGTTGTGGTCAATTTGCAGTGTACAAATTATTATAATTAATTTCAGCCCCCCCGACAATCACCTCCGACAAAAATCGGCCTGCCTACCCCCGGCCTAGGGGCTTGAGACTCACAGGTGAAGTGATGTTTTCAGAGTAGACCCTAGCCAGATGGAATACACTGGGGATGGTAGACATACCCTGGGGGCTTCAGACAGAAAGACAGACGTCATACTCACAGGTGAAGATGACGAGCGCAGTGCGGATCAGGAGATCAACCGGCAGTTCCCATCTCTCTGAGACGCGGGATACCACCGGAGGAATCAGGATCTCAGCTGGCACATAGAACTGAAGGGCAAAGGTGATGTAGATACCGAAACAGTAGAGCAGCTTTACAATCTGATACATCCTAGAGACAGAGAGAGACAGAGACAGAGACAGAGACGAGGAGAGGAGAGGAGAGGTTAAAGTCAAAGTAAAGGCAGACACACAACCACAATTGGTTTAAGTCTTATTGATGACTGAATTTCAAGTTCCTGAGGAGAGACACTTCATTATATTAATTAATGAGTAAATCAGTAATAATACAGTGGTTCCTCAATTAAAAAGTTCTGAGCTTATGCCGCTACACTTGGTGGTAGATGGTGGCAGATTGTGGTAAATTGCGTCATTGCACCACACTATCACAAGGGGGCGTTAGAATGCTGATTATGCTTTTGGTTTCTCTCCCATGAAAAAAAAAAAAATAGAAAGAATTCTAAATGTCAAACTGGCTTTATTTACCAGGGTGGAAAAACTGATAGCACCTCTATATCAAAAAGTGAGTTTCTGAAACATGGAGTCCTTCTTTGCTGATGCGAGGGCGGCAGGTAGCTTAGTGGTTAAGAGCGTTGTGCCAGTAACCGAAAGGTCGCTGGTTCTAATCCCCGAGCCGACTAGGTGAAAAATCTGTCTATGTGCCCTTGAGCAAGGCACTTAACCCTAATTGCTCCTGTTAGTCGCTCTGGATAAGAGCGTCTACTAAATGACGTAAATGTAAATCTGCTAAATGACTAAATATTAATGTAATGTGAAGAAGAAACTGAATGGACACGGACAGAAAAAGGTTGCCCATATTTTCAAAACCTGAGCTATTTAATTTACTTTTAATTTATTTATTAAATGTACTAGTTTACTTAGGCAATTTTATGTATTTGTTTAGGCTTGGCCTATTTAGTAGGCTATTTTGCAGCATAAAGCTATATGTGTCAGCATAAAGCTGAGTGACTCACTCATTCGTGGCTTTGGATCAAAATAAATAAGTACCAACATTCTTTCTGATCGTCTTTAAGAAAGACATGTTTTGACCAAGTTAATCTGCTCATGTTGTGCGTCTGTGTGTGTGTTCAATTATTTGTGACACCGTGGTTATACAATGAAGAATGTAAATGAAATAAATCAAATAAATCCTATTCATAATGAATAATCAGATTTGTGTTGTGAGCTGTAATATTTCCAATGTTTTTTTTTTCACTATATTTTTTGGGGGACAATACAAAACATGCATACAAATGACATCAGACAAACATCAACTACAGTTGAAGTCGGAAGTTTTCATACACCTTAGCCAACTACATTTAAACTCAGTTTAACAATTCCTGACATTTAATCCTAGTAAATATTCCCTGTCTTATGTCAGTTAGGATCACCACTTTATTTTAAGAATGTGAAATGTCAGAATAATAGTAGAGAGAATTATTTATTTCAGCTTTTATTTCTTTCATCACATTCCCAGTGGGTCAGAAGTTTACATACACTCAATTAGTATTTGGTAGCATTGCCTTTAAATTGTTTAACTTGGGTCAAACGCTTCGGGTAGCCTTCCACAAGCTTCCCACAATAAGTTGGGTGAATTTTGGCCCATTCCTCCTGACAGAGCTGGTGTAACTGAGTCAGGTTTGTAGGCCTACTTGCTCGCACACACTTTTTCAGTTCTGCCCACAAATGTTCTATAGGATTGAGGTCTCCAATACCTTGACTTTGTTGTCCTTAAGCCATTTTGCCACAACTTTGGAAGTATGCTTGGGGTCATTGTCCATTTGGAAGACCCATTTGCGACCAAGCTTTAACTTCCTGACTGATGTTTTGAGATGTTGCTTCAATATATCCAGATAATTGTCCTTCCTCATGATGCCATCTATTTTGTGAAGTGCACCAGCCCCTCCTGCAGCAAAGCACCCCCACAGCATGATGCTGCCACCCCCATGCTTCACGGTTTGAATGGTGTTCTTCAGCTTGCAAGCAACCCCCTTTTTCCTCCAAACATAACGATGGTCATTATGGCCAAAGAGTTATATTATTGTTTCATCAGACCAGAGGACATTTCTCCAAAAAGTACGATCTTTGTCCCCATGTGCAGTTGCAAACCGTAGTCTGGCTTTTTTATGGCGGTTTTGGAGCAGTGGCTTCTTCCTTGCTGAGCGGCCTTTCAGGTTATGTCGATATAGGACTTGTTTTTACTGTGGATATAGATACTTTTGTACCGGTTTCCTCCAGCATCTTCACAAGTTCCTTTGCTGTTGTTCTGGGATTGATTTGCACTTTTCGCACCAAACTACGTTCATCTCCAGGAGACAGAAAGGGTCTCCTTCCTGAGCGGTATGACGTCTGCGTTGTCCCATGGTGTTTATACTTGCGTATTATTGTTTGTACAGATGAACATGGTGCCTTCAGGCATTTGGAAATTGCTCCCAAGGATGAACCAGACTTGTGGAGGTCTACAATTTTTCTTTCTGAGGTCTTGGCTGATTTCTTTTGATTTTCCCATGATGTCAAGCAAAGAGGCACTGAGTTTGAAGGTAGGCCTTGAAATACATCCACAGGTACACCTCCAATTGACTCAAATTATGTCAATTAGCCTATCAGAAGCTTCTAAAGCCATGCCATTTTCTGGAATTTTCCAAGCTGTTTAAAAAGGCACAGTCAACTTAGTGTATGTAAACTTCTGACCCACTGGAATTTTGATACAGTGAATTATAAGTGAAATAATTTGTAAACAATTGTTGTAAAAATTACTTGTGTCATGCACAAAGTAGCCAAAACTATAGTTTGTTAACAAGAAATGTGTGGAGTGGTTGAAAAAACGAGTTTTAATGACTCCAACCTAAGTGTATGTAAACTTCCGACTTCAACTGTACATCACACCTGCTCACACCCCCATCTCCAGCGCCCGCATCACTTTCTGCCACATGGACTCAAACTGCACCGTTGTTTCTCTCTGTCGCCCATGCACTTTCAACATTTAGATAATATAGCATTTTACCTTTTCATTGTGTTAATGATGGAGGATTGGTTGATTTCAAGTTTAAGTATATGTTTTTTTAAGATGATTGACAAGAAAAGTATTATCCAACCCATCGGGTATCTCACTTCACCCTCATATACCATGTCTTGAAATATGCTGACAGATTAAAAAATGTCCATTGTAAAACTTCTGACAGCCAACTTTCAAACTACACCCATAACTTTTGGACTTTATAACATTCCCAGAAGGCATGGATTATTATAACCTAATGAAAAATGTAAATGGTAATCTAATTTAAATTTACTGCGGGCCTAAGACCTATGGGTTTAACCTTCTGAATAAATGATTATATTGAAGAAGGAAAGGCGCCTCTTATGAGTTCCGAGAGCCGATCCGTTACCCAACAGAATAACAAATCGATTTAGCCTAATTGTTGTCATGACAGCAGGCTTTTATTCCCCTTTCCCTGCATGTGTATTCAACATTTGGCTAAACAGAAACCATGCAATGAATTAAGAACGATACATTTATATTTTCACAAAGCCTTCAAATATTAGCCAACAAATAAAGCTACTAAAACAGTAACTTCAAAAACAGTCCATTCATCACTCCGATTTCTTCAAATTGCTGTGCAGGAAAAGGGATGTCATCCACCTGGTCGCAGGTTCCAGCTGGCTTCTCTCTTGACTCCACAAATCCATCTGTAGGTGACGCTTCATCCTTTGGAACCACACCATTACCAGGTGAAGAGCAGGTTGTTTGCTTGCCTCCAAGGCGAGTGTGGCCTCATTGAAGCGATAGATCCACAAGTATTCTTTCACAGTAGCTGGCCTTATGTTATCTCAATTTTTTGAGCTGGGAACTGTCCCACTCCGTGGTGGATAGCACCCTCTCCACGAGCACCCACTCTTTGTTTATGTAATGGACTGTAAGGCACAAGTATCCTATTTTCAGAAAATCGTCATCCAAGTGCAATTGCGCCATTGTATTTACCAAAGTTCTCTCTCAACTCAAGGACCACCTGCCAGCTGATTTTTTTGCCTGATGCAGGACTCTAGTGCGATAGGAGAGAGACTCTCGGACAGAAGCATTCACACAAGGTGTGAAAAATCCCCCAATTTGTGCCACAGTTTAGACAACAGATAGATGCTGCGGTCAGTCAGAGTTGAGTCCTATTATAAAGTGTAGCCTAATGGCCAAAATGGGCTAACTTGCAATATATTGAAGGCTTAAGTCGTCTAAAGTTTTACATTTCAAACTCATTAATCACAGACATGATTAAAAATGTCAATTTATTATAATCCACATAATAATTCAAACGAAATGAGCTGTAGCGAGAGAGACTGGGTATGCTAAAGACTATCAGAAAGAATGTGTCTTCAACCCTGCATTATAGTATAACTTATTTTGAACGAAAGCCACAAATGAGTGTCACTCAGCCCTATGCTGAAAAATATAGCTGTCCACGGTTCTGGAACAATCTTCAGTGCGCCATTGAATTGGTGCCTTTCCCTATATGTTGCTATGTGCACCATCTCTTCAGTGTCTATGTGATTCTATACAGCACCATCTCTTCAGTATCTATGTGATTCTATACAGCACCATCTCTTCAGTATCTATGTGATTCTATACAGCACCATCTCTTCAGTATATTGTAAGAAAAACTCACCAGCAGTTGGGTAGGTTGAGGGTGACACTTCCCCCTATGGCCTCTCCAAAGGTGATGTACCCTACGGTCCCCAAGCTGATGTAGAGGAAGGTGACGATGCCCATTCCCAGATATAGAACCCTACTGAAACTCTGAGGCATCTGCATCTTATTCTCCAGGGGCAGGACCTGAGACACGGAGAGGATCATCATCAGGTAACACTTTATACCTATGAAACGACACAGTACTAACTGTAGTAACATTGTAATAACATGCAATTATGTCATTCTGAACATGCAATTACATGTTAATGTTTTGTAGCGTATTGTTGAAAGTGTAGATGAACAGTAATACATTACCACGCCTATCCCCTCGAATGCAAAGATGGCCGTTCCAAAGAAGAGAGGGTAGTCTTTGGCATGACCCACCTTCGGCAGGTTGATATGATTTGGGATGTTCTGGAAATCAAAACAGAAAAAATGGTTGAAACTCAAGTACAGTAATGCAATTGAATAAAAATAATTAGCAGTTAACATAATTAGCAGTTAACATAATTAGCAGATAACATAATAGGGCGCTGGTCAACCACGAGCCACCAGAACAGCTTCAATTCGCCTTGGCCTTAGATTCTACAAGTGTCTAGATCTCTATTGGAGGGAAGTGACACCATTATTTGGTGTTTTGTTGATGTGGTGGACACACCCCTGCAGTTCCCCCAAGGCGGGGGGCCCCCCAACTTTTGTAGTTTCTGGGGGGGGGGGGGGTCCCCCTGGAGGTCGGGCCGCCCAGATAGAATATGAACACGTCATGAGCCATGTATGGTTTTTTTTATTTATTATTATAGGAAATTAGCTTTTAAAAAACTAACATTCTTTCAGCCTCAAGGCAAAATGTGTAAAATAGCATAAGATTAGCTTGACAAATGCTAATTTTACTCAATATGTTCTTCTGAAATATGAACACGGAAATACTACACATTTTGAATTCTTATTATGGTGGCAATTTGACACAATCATGGTCTTGAATTGGACTCGCATTTTTCTGGTCTTGGGCTTCACTCGTTCTCGAACCCCTCGTCCCCCCTCCCGGTCTTCACTCGTTCTCGAACCCCTCGTCCCCCCTCCCGGTCTTCACTCGTTCTCGAACCCCTCGTCCCCCCTCCCGGTCTTCACTCGTTCTCGAACCCCTCGTCCCCCCTCCCGGTCTTCACTCGTTCTCGAACCCCTCGTCCCCCCTCCCGGTCTTCACTCGATCTCGAACCCCTCGTCCCCCCTCCCGGTCTTGACTCGGACTCGATTTGCTCCAGTCTAGGTCTTGAATCTGCCGCCACTATTTTAATGATTGGATGTTTTATTTTGGAGCTCTGCATCTATGCATGTACAGTTGAAGTCGGAAGTTTACATACACTTAGGTTGGAGTCATTAAAACTAGTTTTTTCAACCACTCCACACATTTTTTGTTAACAAACTATATAGTTTTGGCAAGTCGGTCAGGACATCTAGTTTGTGCATGACACAATACATTTTTCCAACAATTGTTTTCAGACAGATTATTTCACTGTATCACAATTCCAGTGGGTCAGAAGTTTACATACACTAAGTTGACTGTGCCTTTAAACAGCTTGTAAAATTCCAGAAAATGATGTCATGGCTTTAGAAGCTTCTGATAGGCTAATTGACATCATTTGAGTCAATTGGAGGTGTACCTGTGGATGTATTTCAAGGCCTACCTTCAAACTCAGTGCCTCTTTGCTTGACATCATGGGAAAATCAAAAGAAATCAGCCAAGACCTCAGAAAAAAAAATGGTAGACCTCCACAAGTCTGGTTCATCCAAAATATCCAAATGCCTGAAGGTACCACGTTCATCTGTACAAACAATAGTACGCAAGTATAAACACCATGGGACCACGCAGCCGTCATACCTCTCAGGAAGGAGACGTGTTCTGTCTCCTAGAGATGAACGTACTTTGGTGCGAAAAGTGCAAATCAATCCCAGAACAACAGCAAAGGACCTTGTGAAGATGCTGGAGGAAACAGGTACAAAAGTATCTATATCCACACTAAAACGAGTCCTATATCGACATAACCTGAAAGGCCGATCAGCAAGGAAGAAGCCACTGCTCCAAAACCGCCATAAAAAAGCCAGACTACGGTTTGCAACTGCACATGGGGACAAAGATCGTACTTTTTGGAGAAATGTCCTCTGGTCTGATGAAACAAAAATAGAACTGTTTGGCCATAATGACCATCGTTATGTTTGGAGGAAAAAGGGGGTTGCTTGCAAGCCGAAGAACACCATCCCAACCGTGAAGCACGGGGGTGGCAGCATCATGCTGTGGGGGTGCTTTGCTGCAGGAGGGACTGGTGGACTTCACAAAATAGATGGCATCATGAGGAAGGACAATTATCTGGATATATTGAAGCAACATCTCAAGACATCAGTCAGGAAGTTAAAGCTTGGTCGCAAATGGGTCTTCCAAATGGACAATGACCCCAAGCATTGTTCCAAAGTTGTGGCAAAATGGCTTAAGGACAACAAAGTCAAGGTATTGGAGTGGCCATCACAAAGCCCTGACCTCAATCCTATAGAACATTTGTGGGCAGAACTGAAAAAGTGTGTGCGAGCAAGGAGGCCTACAAACCTGACTCAGTTACACCAGCTCTGTCAGGAGGAATGGGCCAAAATTCACCCAACTTATTGTGGGAAGCTTGTGGAAGGCTACCCGAAGCGTTTGACCCAAGTTAATCAATTTAAAGGCAATGCTACCAAATACTAATGAGTGTATGTAAACTTCTGACCCACTGGGAATGTGATGAAAGAAATAAAAGCTGAAATAAATCATTCTCTCTACTATTATTCTGACAGTTCACATTCTTAAAATAAAGTGGTGATCCTAACTGACCTAAAACAGGGAATTTATACTAGGATTAAATGTCAGGAATTGTGAAATGTATTTGTTTAAAATGTATTTGGCTAAGGTGTACCTAAACTTCTGACTTCAACTGTATTATGTATTGATTGTGATTCAGCTGATAAAAAGGGATACCCTGGGCCATGGGTCCTGGGGTGCATTCATAGTGCACCCTACCAAAAGGTTTTGAAAAAAAAAAACAAAAAAAAAAAAAAAAGAAAAAAAAGGAACAAAAGTAAAACCCCCAAAAAACCAGTACCTCCCAACAGAATAGTCCTCATTACCTCCCGTGAACATAGTATGCTGCAGTACCTCCGTGAAGTTTAGATAGCCCGCAGTACGTACCATGAAAGTGATAGTGCTGCTACCTACCATGAAGCATAGTAGTGCGCATACCACCGGGAAAGCGTGATAGTCTCCGACCTACCATAAACCTAGTTGTCCTCGTACCTACATGAAGCAGTAATAGTGCTGCAGTCCTACCTAAAGCATGATAGTCCTCAGACATACCATGAACAGTAGATGCCCTGCATACCTCCCAAGCAGTGAGGGTCCTGCTACCTCCCATAGCATAATAGTGCTGAAAGTACCTACCATGAAGCAGTAGATAGTCCTGCGTCCCTACCTGAAGCGTAATAGTGTGCGTACCTACCATGAACAGAGATGCCCTGCGTACTACCCTGAAGCGGATGTGCTGCGTACATACCATAAGCAGTAATGTTGCAGTAAACCATGAAGCATAATAGTCTGCAGTACCACCCTGAAGCAGTAGATAGTCCTGCAGTACCCCAGAAGCAGAGATTGTGCTACTCCCTGAAGCAGTAGTATCCGCATACTACCGTAAGCAGAAAGATATGCTGCAGTACATACCAGAAGCAGGATAGTGCTGCAGTACCTACCATGAGCAGTAGATATCCGCATCATACCTGAAGCAAAAGGTGGTACATCCATAAACAGAGATATGCTGCGTACTACCCGGCCCAATAGATGTCCTGCATACCTACCGTGAAGCATAAAGTAGATAGGACCAGCTATACACATGGCCAGGTTGGCTACCAGAAAGTGGGCCAGGTCTTCGGGTTTGGGGGGTGAACACCAGGAGTAAACGGCTGGGCAAAAAACACAACATGTAAGAGGGGAGTCGAAGCTGGGGACGGGACCCCGTCTGGTTTGTACAGCTCATGGTTTTCCCGTTAAAAGACTCCACCCCTAAGGAAAAATCCCAAGAACAATGAACAAAAGTTAAAGGTACTTTTCACACTATCGTGGCAACCAAAATTGTACTGTACTGTGCTGGATCGGAAGTTTTTCACAACCTTTTCACCAGTTCAAAAATGTGGTTATAGGACAAAAGAGGCGAAAATAAGCGAAAATAAAAACCATGAGCAAAATAACTCCAGGCATTTATGAAAACACCAAATGCTCTACTGTCAGGAAAAAAGCAAAAAGTACCCCCCTAGGGGGGGAAACAGTACCAAGTACCCCCAACTACCACAGAACCCAAAATACACATCCACCAAATACCCAGTACCAGCCAAAGTAAAATACTCCAACAGTACCACAGTATACCCCCCCTTCCCCCAGTACCCGCCCCACCCCCCTACCACCAACATACCCCAAAAGTCCACATACCACCAAGTCCCCCAACCCTAAACCCCATACCCCACTACCACAGTACCCCCAACGTACCCCTACACCCAAAATACCAATACCAGCCCAAAATACCACAGACCCTCAACAGTACCACAGTTAGTCAACAGTACCCCTACCTCAACAGTACCAAGACCAGCCCAAAATACCACAGTACTAGCCAAAGTAAAGCCAAAAGTACCAGCCACATCCCGTCCCTCAACATACCCCCAACGTACACCAAAATACCCGCCACAGTACCACAGTCCAGCCAACAGTACCACATACCCGTCAACAGTACCCCCAGTACCAGTAAAATACCACTATATCAAAAGTACCCCGTACCAGTCAAGTACCACATCCAGCCAACACCCCAGTACTAGCCAACAGTACCACATCCACCAACAGACCCAGTACCACCAACATACCACATACCAGCCAAAAGTACCACGTACCCCCAACTACCACAGTACCAGCAAACAGTACCCCAGTACCAGCCCAAAATACCCCGTACCCGCAAAAAAGTACACAGTCCACCAAATAACCCCCAAAAAGTACCAATACCGCCAACATTTCCCCCAGTACTGCCAACTCCACATACCCTTCAAAAACCACATTAGCCCAAAACCAACCCCCGTACCAGCCAACAGTACCACAGTAAAAACAGTACCAAGTACCACCAACAGTACCCCCCTACCAGCCAACATACCCAGTACCGCCAACAGTACAAGCCCAAAATCCAGCCAAAGACACAGACCCGCCAACAGACCCCCGTACCCGCCACAGACCCCCCAACAGTACCCAGTACCCCCAAAAGTACAACCAAAAAGTCCCCATCTAGCCAACATACAAACCACATACCCCCAAAGACCAAAGACTAGCAAAAATACCACGTACCACCAAAAGAAGCAAAAACCACATACCCTCACAGTACCACGTACCAGCAACTCCACGTACTAGCCAACAGTAAAGCCAACTACCACCACAGTACCCCCAGTAAAACCCCCAACTACCACATCCACCCATCCAAAAATCCAGCAAAAAACCCTAACCCCCCAACAGTACCCCTACCGCAAACCCCCCCGTCCCCAAATACCAATTACCCCCCAACTCCACAGCCCAAAAGTACCCAGTCCCCCCCCAAAAAGTCCACAGACCCCCAAAAGTACCACATACCACCAAAAATACCACAGTACAGCCAAAAGTACCACGTACCCCCAAAATACCACAGTACCAGCCAACAGTACCCCAAAACTACCAAAGTACAACATACTAGCCAAAAGTACCCCAGTATAGCCAACAGACCACAGACATTCAAACAAACAAACAATTTTTTTTATATACCTTTTACATCACTAATATCTCAAGTGCGTTTCAGAAACCCAGCCTAAACCCCAAAAAGCTAGTAATGAGGTGTAGAAGCCGGTGGCTGAAAAAAAATCCCCAGAAAGGCGAAAAACCTAGGGAAAAACCTAGAGGGAACCGGCTAAAGGGGGGGCCTTTCCCCTTCTGGCTGTGCCGGTGGAGATTATAAAGAACCATGCCAAGATGTTCAAAAATGTTCATAAGTGACAAGCATGGTCAAATAATAATCAGGAATAAATCTCAGTTGGCTTTTCATAGCCGATCATTAAGAGTTGAAAACAGCAGGTCTGGGACAGGTAGGGGTTCCATAAACCGCAGGCAGAACAGTTGAAACTGGAATAGCAGCAAGGCCAGCGGACTGGGGACAGCAAGGAGTCACCACGGCCGGTAGTCCCGACGTATGGTCCTAGGGCTCAGGTCTCTCAGTTGGCTTTTCATAGCCGATCATTAAGAGTTGAAACATCAGGTCTGGGACAGGTATGGGTTTCGTAGCCGCAGGCAGAACAGTTGAAACTGGAATAGCAGCAAGGCCAGGCGGACTGGGGACAGCAAGGTGTCATCATGCCCGGTAGTCCTGGTTTGGCTGGTACTGTTGGCTTGTACTGTTGGCTGGTACTGTGGTACTGTTGGCTGGTACTGTGGTACTGACAGTACCCAGCCAACAGTACCACAGTACCAGCCAACAGTACCACAGTACCAGCCACAGTACCACATACCAGCCAACATACAAGCCACAGTACCAGCCAAAATACCACATAAGCCAAAAGACCACAGTACTAGCCAACAACCCCAACGTACACGTACAGCCAAAATCCCCGTACCACCAACAGACCCCATACCGCCAAAATACCACATCCCCCCCAACTACCCGTCCACCAACGACCAGCCCCAAAAGTACCCCCCAAAATCCACCCAGTGGTGTGAAACAGACCCCAGTCCAGCAACATACCACAGACAAGAACGTAAACCCCATATACCAAAATACCCCAGTACCCGCCAAAAATACCACAGTACCCGCCACCTACCCGCCAAAAGTACCACAGTACCAGCCACTACCACAGTACCAGCCATCATACAACCAAAAGTAAACCCGCCAAAAGTACCACAGTACTAGCCAACTCCACAGTCCACCAACATACCACGTACCCGCCAACTACCACTACTGCCAACAACCAAGCCCCCGCCAACTACCCCATACAGCCCAAAAGTACCCAGAAAAAGCCAACAGTACCCCAGTATACCCAAAAGTACCACATCCAAACCAAAAGACCCACCAAAAATTCCACAGTACTAGCCAACATTTCCAAGACCACCAACGCCAGTACCCCCCACATACCACAGTACCCAGCCAAAATACCACATATAGCCAAAAATACCACTACCAGCCAAAAACCCCAAAATACCGCCAAAATTCCACATACTAGCCACAAACCACATAACCAGCCAAAAAATCCCCCCCCCTCCCAACCAACATACCACAGACCAGCCAAAGTCCCCCCGTACTAGCCAACAGATACCAAAGTACCACCTTTCTAGCCAAGTACCCCTACTAGCCAACATCCACGTCCCGCCCAAAATACCCCATTTCCAGCCAAAAAGTACCCCAGTACTAGCCAACAGACACAGTACCAGCCAACGTAACCCCCATACCCGCCAAAAGTACCCCAGTACCACCAAAAATCACGTACCCGCCCAAAAGTACCACAGTACTAGCCAAAAGTACCACAGTACCAGCCAAAAATACCACTACAGCCACATACCCCCAGTACCAGCCCAAAGTACCCCAGTACTACCAAAGTCCCACAGTACCAAACAGTACCCCAGTACCAGCCAACGTACCACAGTACCCCACAGTATAGCCAAAAGTACCACTCACCAACATACCCCCAGTCCACCAACGTACCACAAAACTAGCCAACAGTACCACATACCAGCCAACAGTACCACTACCAGCCAAAAGTAAACCCCAGTACCACCCCCAACGTACCAGCCAAAAGTAAAAAAGTACCAGCCAAAAGTACCCCAGTACCACCAACCGTACCCCAGTCCACCCAAAATACCACGTACCACCCAACGTACCACCAAAGTACCCGCAACATACCCCAGTACCACCCCCGTGGTGTTAAACAGTACCCCTACACCAAAAAGTCCACGTACCCCCAAAATACCCCGTACCAGCCAACATACCACATTTCCCAACGTACCACAGTACCAGCCAACAGTACCACAGTACTAGCCAACAGTACCAGCCAACATACCACAGTACCAGCCAACAGTACCACAGTACCAGCCAACAGTACCAGCCAACAGTACCACAGTACCAGCCAACAGTACCACAGTACTAGCCAACAGTACCACCTAGTGGTGTGAAACAGTACTAGCCAACATGACGACATGACCCCTACCTGTTTGATGTTGTCACTGAGAAAGACGAAGTAAACGCAGCAGAAACCCAGCTGGGTGATGATCAGAAACACGTTCACTATCCGCCTGAAGGAAGACAGGGACAAGGACACAAATCAACATCTGTTCTAAACATTAAAGGGGACTGGAAACACATGCCAGATATTACACCAAACACCGTGAGGAGTTGAAAACTCTTAATGAATAAAGGTCAAAACACAAGTCATAATATAGAAGAGGGAGTTTGACTTGCTATTAAAGAACACATTTCATGATTCATAACCTTCCTGTAGGTTCTTCTACTGTACCCACATTCTACTGTACACACATTCTACTGTACCCACATTCTACTGTACCCACATTCTACTGTACCCACATTCTACTGTACCCACATTCTACTGTACCCACATTCTACTGTACCCACATTCTACTGTACCCACATTCTACTGTACCCACATTCTACTGTACCCACATTCTACTGTACACACATTCTTACTTACATACTTATATAAATATTTACCTCCCCCATATTGAGTGCCTTCTCAGCCACGAGACATTCTCCATACCATACTGCACAGCATCACCATAGTCCAGAAAGGGCTTGTTCAACCTTGAACAGAGGGAACATCACTCAGAAAGGGCTTGTTCAACCTTGAACAGAGGGGACATCACTCAGAAAGGGCTTGTTTCAACCTTGAACAGAGGGGACATCACTCAGAAAGGGCTTGTTCAACCTAGAACATCACTCAGAAAGGGCTTGTTCACCCTTGAACAGAGGGAACATCATTCAGAAAGGGCTTGTTCAACCTAGAACAGAGGGAACATCACTCAGAAAGGGCTTGTTCACCCTAGAACAAATGAAACATCACTCAGGGCCCGGATTCACAGAGCCTCAGGGTAGGAGTGCGGATCTAGGATCTACCCTGTCCATGTAATCTTATTCATTACGGTCTAAAAGGCTAAACTGAATACGGGCCAGATCTCAACGACCATACGGGCCCAGATCTCAACGACCATACGGGCCCAGATCTCAACGACCATACGGGCCAGATCTCAACGACCATACGGGCCCAGATCTCAACGACCATACGGGCCCAGATCTCAACGACCATACGGGCCCAGATCTCAACGACCATACGGGCCCAGATCTCAACGACCATACGGGCCCAGATCTCAACGACCATACGGGCCCAGATCTCAACGACCATACGGGCCCAGATCTCAACGACCATACGGGCCCAGATCTCAACGACCATACGGGCCCAGATCTCAACGACCATACGGGCCCAGATCTCAACGACCATACGGGCCCAGATCTCAACGACCATACGGGCCCAGATCTCAACGACCATACGGGCCCAGATCTCAACGACCATACGGGCCCAGATCTCAACGACCATACGGGCCAGATCTCAACGACCATACGGGCCCAGATCTCAACGGCCATACGGGCCCAGATCTCAACGACCATACGGGCCCAGATCTCAACGACCATATAACTTGAAAACACCCCGTCAACAAAATGACCATACATGGCGTTTACCCCATGTTCACTAAATGTGACACTATTACTTCAGCTGATGTGAGGAATCTGACAGACATGTTCCTGTCATGACAGTGGTAGGGGACATTACTAACCCATGTTGGATCGTCTAATAGAGAACAGGGTTGTGAACAATGGATGTAGAGTATGCTACAGCAATGAAACGTAGGGTGCATTAACGTCGTGCTCATTAGGTTTGGTTTGCTTGTATTACGAAATACAAAAGGTTTTCACTTCTCCTACAATGGAAACTAACCGCACCAGATCAACAACATACCTTGTAGTCTGAACACACCCTAAGGGTGCTACTAGAAGACAGTGGACTGATGACTGGCTTGGTTTGTTTCATTAAACAGTCCTTCTTTATCCAATACTAGGCTTGATGGCATAGCTGCATTGTGGTGACTTTGACTTAGGCTAATCTATGAACTGAACACATTTAACCATTCCCGTTTCCAGGACAACGTGAGAGATTTCCTCAGACATCAAATACAAAAAAAGGAAGTGTATAATGTGAAAGTACTGTACTTCTCTTCTTGATGCGTAACTCAAACTAGTTGTACAACAGCATCCACAACAATAGGATCTGTTTATGGAACAACTGAGAGGTGCTGCAGACAAACGGTGTGAGAAGGCTCCACTTACTTTGCACTGAGGTGGTGGGAACATTTTACAAGCAGGTTCATACAGTGGACTGCTATTATCCCCATGGCAAACAGACTCAGAGGCCCTAACTGGAAAGGAAGAGAGAAGACAGTCTTATTGGGTATAGTCACATTGTGATTATTTCATTCCCCTCGCACTGCACTTGCAGAATAAATGTATTAGCCACGGACATCTAGAACAGATCAAAGTAAGATTGTTTAAATAATGATAAAGGTTTTGAACAATTAAATAAAATGGTGGTTTGGGCAGAGTGACTGTTCTAGGCCCGAGTCTGCTTGAACAGGTATTTGGTTATCAGTTATGTGGTCACTTCATTGGTAACTGTTTCCTATTCACAAGGCCTGCTATCCGGACAGCCAGAGGTACCGATGTTCCCCTCCTAACCCTAACCACAAGGCCTGCGTTCCGGACAGCCAGAGGTACCGATGTTTCCCCTCCTAACCCTAACCCTTACCACAAGGCCTGCGTTCCGGACAGCCAGAGGTACCGATGTTCCCCTCCTAACCCTAACCCTTACCACAAGGCCTGCGTTCCGGACAGCCAGGGTACCGATGTTCCCCTCCTAACCCTAACCACCAAGGCCTGCGTTCCGGACAGCCAGAGGTACCGATGTTCCCCTCCTAACCCTAACCCTTACCACAAGGCCTGCGTTCCGGACAGCCAGAGGTACCGATGTTCCCCTCCTAACCCTAACCCTTACCACAAGGCCTGCGTTCCGGACAGCCAGAGGTACCGATGTTCCCCTCCTAACCCTAACCCTTACCACAAGGCCTGCGTTCCGGACAGCCAGAGGTACCGATGTTCCCCTCCTAACCCTAACCCTTACCACAAGGCCTGCGTTCCGGACAGCCAGAGGTACCGATGTTCCCCTCCTAACCCTAACCACAAGGCCTGCGTTCCGGACAGCCAGAGGTACCGATGTTCCCCTCCTAACCCTAACCCTTACCACAAGGCCTGCGTTCCGGACAGCCAGAGGTACCGATGTTCCCCTCCTAACCCTAACCCTTACCACAAGGCCTGCGTTCCGGACAGCCAGGGGTACCGATGTTCCCCTCCTAACCCTAACCCTTATCACAAGGCCTGCGTTCCGGACAGCCAGGGGTACCGATGTTCCCCTCCTAACCCTAACCCTTACCACAAGGCCTGCGTTCCGGACAGCCAGAGGTACCGATGTTCCCCTCCTAACCCTAACCCTTACCACAAGGCCTGCGTTCCGGACAGCCAGAGGTACCGATGTTCCCCTCCTAACCCTAACCCTTACCACAAGGCCTGCGTTCCGGACAGCCAGAGGTACCGATGTTCCCCTCCTAACCCTAACCCTTACCACAAGGCCTGCGTTCCGGACAGCCAGAGGTAGGCCTAGCAGCCCTGTTCCGATGTTCCCCTTCAAGAGGTGGATCAGGGTCTGGAAAAAACTACAAAAACATAACAAATAAAACATGATCAGTGTCAAATCACATCACTCAATAATGCAATAATGGCATCAAACAATTATGAACGCAGGCTCTCACACGCTCTCATATAACCAGCTCTTTGTATTCGGCCTGAGGAAGGTCTCAGGATGGAAACTTTGCTGCTAGGGATTTACTTTGTAAATAAATAAAAAAAGTGACCATTTCAATACAATAGAGTTGCGCTCTTTGATTTTGTATGATGAAGAGCTGGAATGAAAACATTTATGCATGTAACATAAAATCATCCTTACGAAGTCCCAGTTCGACCTCCAATTCTCTCGTACTGAGAATCAGGTCCGGAGGGAAGAGGTGGAGCAGGACAGAGAACATCTGCCTCAGAGGTGCTCGCTGATATCCTGGAGAGAACTGGACCTGGGCCTGGGCCTGGGCCTGGACCTGGGCCTGCAATACGGGGACACACAGCCAGTCTGCATTAAGCTGCCAGGTAACTACAAGTGTTGCTACTACAGTTACATGGGCACAAAGGGCAACTTCAATAATACCTCAATTCAAATCACAAAAAATACAAAAATCCCCCAGTCTGAAGAATGTCTTAATTAAGACAGATTCTGCTACATTAGTCTTGGCTGTGTGTAGGTAGCATGTTGTACTACACAGAATCCCCACAGAAGGACCCGAGACATAACCATAATCAGTCTGCTAGGCTGGGCCCTGGTTTGTTGACACAAACAAAAGCACAGTGTTATTGTTGTTAGCTAATGATCATCCACAAACAATACACTTATTGGCTACTTCTCATCCAAAGAAAACACTGCATGGAAAGTCATGAAAGACTGAGAAAATATCCTCCATATGTGGAAAAATGTTGTGATCCTACTAAAAATCACTCTGTACATGAGTTTCCTGGATATGTTCACTAGGCAAATGCTGTGGGTAGAAATGAATAGACCGGATCTCATTCCTTCTTCTACATGTCAGAGAATAATTTTTGTCCTACATAATACAGTGCATTTGGAAAAGTATTCAGACCCCTTGACATTTAACATTTTGTTACGTTACAGCCTTTTTCTAAAATGGATTATATCGTTTTTTCCCCCCTCATCAATCTACACACAATACCCCATAATGACAAAGCAAAAACAGTTACTATTTTATTTTAGCAAATGTATTAAAAATACAAAACTGAAATATGACATGTACATAAGTATTCAGACCCTTTACTTTGTTGGCACCTTTGGCAGCGATTACAGCCTCGAGTCTTCTTGAGTATTACGCTACAAGCTTGGCACACCTGTATTTGGGGAGTTTCTCCCATTCCTCTCTGCAGATCCTCTCAAGCTCTGTCAGGTTGGATGGGGAGCGTCGCTGCACAGCTATTTTCAGGTCTCTCCAGAGATGTTCGATCGGGTTCAAGTCTGGGCTCTGGCTGGGCCACTCAAGGACATTCAGAGACTTGCCCCGAAGCCATTCCTGCGTTGTCTTGGCTGTGTGCTTAGGGTCGTTGTCCTGTTGGAAGGTGAACCTTCGCCCCAGTCTGAGGTCCTGAGCACTCTGGGGGAGGTTTTCAACAAGGATCTCTCTGTACTTTGCTCCGTTCATCTTTCTCTCGATCCTGACTAGTCTCCCAGTCCCTGCCACTGAAACACATACCCACAAAATTATGCTGCAACCACCACTATGCTTCACCGTAGGGATGGTGCCAGGTTTGACGCTTGGCATTCAGGCCAAAGAGTTTAAATCTTGGTTTCATCAGACCAGAGAATCTTGTTTCTCATGGTCAGAGTCCTTTAGGTGCCTTTTGGCAAACTCCAAGCGGGCTGTCATGTGCCTTTTACTGAGGAGTGGTTTCCATCTGGCCACTCTACCATTAAGGCCTGATTGGTGGAGTGCTGCAGAGATGGTTAACCTTCTGGAAGGTTCTCCCATCTCTACAGAGGAACTCTGGAGCTCTGTCAGAGTGACCATCGGGTTCTTGGTCACCTCCCTGACCAAGGCCCTTCTCCCTCGATTGCTCAGTTTGGCCGGGCGGCCAGCTCTAGGAAGAGTCTTGGTGGTTCTGAACTTCTTCCATTTAAGAATGATGGAGGCCACTGTGTTCCTGGGGACCTTCAATGCTGCAGAAATGTTTTGGTACCCTTCCCCAGATATGTGCCTCGACACAATCCTGTCTCGGAGCTCTACGGACAATTCCTTCGACCTCATGGCTTGGTCTTTGCTCTGACATGCACTGTCAACTGTGGGACCTTATATAGACAGGTGTGTGCCTTTCCAAATCATGTCCAATCAATTGAATTTACCACAGGTGGACTCCAATCAAATTATAGAAACATCAAGGATGATCAATAGAAACAGGATGCACCTGAGCTCAATTTCAAGTCTCGTAGCAAAGGGTCTGAATACTTATGTTAATAAGGTATATTTTTTACATTTCTAAAAACCTGTTTTCGCTTCGTCATTATGGGCTATTGTGTGTAGATTGATGAGGAAAAAAGTATACTTCATCCATTTTAGAATAAGGCTGTAACGTAACAAAATGTGGAAAAAGTCAAGGGGTCTGAACACTTTCTGAATGCACTGTATACTGCTATCTGCACGTTCCACAACGTTGTGCCCTGTTGAACGTAGCCCAGGGCCCATAATTATAAAGCTTCTCAAAGTAGGAGTACTAATCTAGCGTCAGGTCTCCTGTCCATATAAACATATTCCTTATGATCTAAAAGACCAGATCAGTGCTCCTACTCATATGGAGAAACTGATACCAGACGAGCAGTCCTACTCAGACATTTTATGAATACAGGTCCTGTTCTGACTAAATAGGGCCTTGGAGTTTCAAATTAAATACCGTCTTGGCGATTGTCAGTGTTGGAGGTCATGGTTGGTCCGCTGGCGTTGGGTGGATCCTCCTGCTGCCCTCCTCTCTCTGATTCCTCCTACAGAGCCACTGTGGTAACGACAATGTAATGGTAGTTCATTCCATGCTATACACGTCTACCAGATACCAGACCTCAAGCACCAGCAGTGTACTTATCTGGAGAAACCTAGAAATGCTGGGAGTTGAGGATTGTTCTATGCTATTAATGCTGACAGCAACTTGTTCAATGTTATTACTGCATAGTAGTGTGGTCACAATACCAACATTTTACACTAATCAACAAAATACACTACCGTTCAAAAGTCACTTAGAAATGTCCTTGTTTTCCATGAAAAACATAGTGAGGGAAAAAAATTATTTGATCCCAGTGGTCCTCTGTAGCTCAGCTGGTAGAGCACGGCGCTTGTAAAGCCAAGGTAGTGGGTTCGATCCCCGGGACCACCCATACACAAAAAATGTATGCATACATGACTGTAAGTCGCTTTGGATAAAAGCGTCTGCTAAATGGCTTATTATTATTATTATTATTATTATTATTATTATTATTATTATTATTATCATCCCCTGCTGATTTTGTACGTTTGTAAATCAATTTATAACATTTTTGACAAGCGTTCTTCTGGATTTTTTTGTTGTTATTCTGTCTCTCACTGTTCAAATAAACCTACCATTAAAATTATAGACTGATCATTTCTTTGTCAGTGGGCAAACGTACAAAATCAGCAGGGGATCAAATACTTTTTTCCCCTCACTGTACATGAAATGAGTTTGAATAGGAAATGTAGCAAAATGCATAGGAAATGTAGTCATTGACAAGGGTATAAATAATTATTTTTAATATCAATAATAAATTGTGTCCTTCAAACTTTGCTTTCGTCAAGGAATCCTCCATTTGCAGCAATTACAGCCTTGCAGACCTTGACATTCTAGTTGTCAAATTTGTTGAGGTAATCTGAAGAGATTTCACTCCATGCTTCCTGAAGCACCTCCCACAAGTTGGATTGGCTTGATGGGCACTTCTTACGTACCATACGGTCAAGCTGCTCCCACAACAGCTCAATAGGGTTGAGATCCGGTGACTGTGCTGGCCACTCCATTATAGACAGAATACCAGCTGACTGCTTCTTCCCTAAATAGTTATTGCATAGTTTGGAGCTGTGCTTTGGGTCATTGTCCTGTTGTAGGAGGAAATTGGCTCCAATCAAGTGCTGTCCACAGGGTATGGCATGGCGTTGAAAAATGGAGTGATAGCCTTCCTTCTTCAAGATCCCTTTTACCCTGTACAAATCTCCCACTTTACCACCACCAAAGCACCCCCAGAGCATCACATTGCCTCCACCATGCTTGACAGATTGCATCAAGCACTCCTTCAGCATCTTTTCATTTGGTCTGCGTCTCACAAATGTTCTTCTTTGTGATCCGAACACCTCAAACTTCGATTTGTCTGTCCATAAAAAAAAAATATCCAATCTTCCTCTGTCCAGTGTCTGTGTTCTTTTGCCCATCTTAATCTTTTCTTTTTATTGGCCAGTCTGAGATATGGCTTTTTCTTTGCAACTCTGCCTAGAAGGTCAGCATCCCGGAGTCGCCTCTTCACCGTTGACGTTGAGACTGGTGTTCTGCGGGTACTATGTAATGAAGCTGCCAGTTGAGGACCTGTGAGGCGTCTGTTTCTCAAACTAGACACTAATGTATTTGTCCTTTTGCTCAGTTGTGCACCGGGGCCTCCCACTCCTCTTTCTATTCTGGTTAGAGCCAGTTTGCGCTGTTCTGTGAAGGGAGTAGTACAAGATCTTCAGTTTCTTGGCAATTTCTCGCATGGAATAGCCTTAATTTCTCAGAACAAGAATAGACTGACGAGTTTCAGAAGAAAGTTATTTGTTTCTGGCCATTTTGAGCCTGTAATCAAACCCACAATTGCTGATGCTCCAGATACTCAACTAGTCTCAAGAACGCCAGTTTATTTGCTTCTTTAAATCAGCACAACCGTTTTCAGCTGTGCGAACATAATTGCAAAAAGGGTTTTCTAATGATCAATTAGCCTTTTAAAATGCTAAACTTGGATTAGCAAACAAAGTGCCATTGGAACACAGGACTGATGGTTGCTGATAATGGGCCTCTGTACGCCTATGTAGATATTCCATTAAAAATCAGCCGTTTCCAGCTACAATAGCCATTTACAACATTAACAAGGTCTACACTGTATTTCTGATCAATTTGATGTTATTTTAAAATGGACAAAAAAAAAATTGCTTTTCTTTCGAAAACAAGGACATTTCTAAGTCACCCCAAACTTTTGAACTGTAGTATACATGTAAAGTGTTGGTCCCTCTCAAATTTGTTTACATCCCTGTTAGTGAGCATTTCTCCTTAACCAAAACAATCCATCCACCTGACAGGTGTGGCATATCAAGAAGCTGATTAAACAGCATGATCATTACAAAGGTGCACCTTGTGCTGGGGACAATAAAAGGCCACTCTAAAATGTGCAGTTGTGTCACACAACACAATGCCACAGATGTCTCAAGTTTTGAGGGAGCGTGCAATTGGCATGCTGACTGCAGGAATGTCCACCAGAGCTGTTGCCAGAGAATGTAATGTTCATTTCTCTACCATAAGCTGCTTTCAACATTGTTTTAGAGAATTTGGCTGTACGTCCAACCGGCTTCGCAACCGCAGACCACGTGTAACCATGCCAGCCCAGGACCTCCACATCCGGCTTCTTCACCTGCGGAATCGTCTGAGACCAGCCAACCGGACAGCTGATGAAACTGTGGGTTTGCACAACCAAATACTTTCTGCACAAACTGTCAAAAACCATCTCAAGGAAGCTCATCTGCATGCTCGTCGTCCTCACAGGGTCTTGACCTGACTGCAGTCCGGCGTCGTAACTGACGTCAATGGGCAAATGCTCACCTTCGATGGCCACTGGCACGCCGGACAAGTGTGCTCTTCGTGGATGAATCCCGGATATCAACTGTAACATGGCGTCATGTGGGCCAGCGGTTTGCTGATGTCAACGTTATGAACAGAGTGCCCCATGGTGGCGGTGGGGTTATGGTATGGGGCAGGCATAAGCTACGGACAACGAACACAATTGCATTTTATCAATGGTAATTACCGTGACGAGATCCATTGTCGTGCCATTCATCCACCACCATCACCTCATGTTTCAGAATGATAATGCACGGCCCCATGTCGCAAGGATCTGTAAACAATTCCCGGAAGCTGATAATGTCCCAGTTCTTCCATGGCCTGCATACTCTGCAGACATGTCACCCATTGAGCATGTTTGGGATGCTCTGGAATGATGTGTACAAACAGCATGTTCCAGTTCCCGCCAATATCTAGCAACTTCGCACAGACATTGAAGAGGAGTGGGACAATATTCCACAGGCCACAATCAACTCTATGCGAAGGAGATGGGTCGCGCTGCATGAGGCCAATGGTGGTCACACCAGATACGGACTGGTTTTATGATCCATGCCTACCTTTTTTATAAGGTATCGGTGACCAACAGATGCATATCTGTATTCCCAGTCATGTGAAATCCATAGATTAGGGCCTAATGAATGTATTTATATTGACTGATTTCCTTATATGAACTGAAAGGCAGTAAAAAAAAAAAAAAGGTTGCATTTATATTTTTGTTCAGTGTACTAACGATAGAGTAGTATCGTGATACCAGGAGATATATATATTTTTTGATCAGTGGCCTAGTGTCCTGATTGCCTCGTATGCTTGTTCATTACACGCATGTGCTACGCAAAAAAACCGGTCACTGAAATTCACACTTCTACTCAATACAACATATTGAATTTAACGTCACACTGTTCAGTGTATAATAGAATAATGCATAGAATGGCTAATTTGCTCATTTTTGCAAAGGCCTGTGATTTGGCTGGAGGAATGTGAGGAAGGAATATACATGCATAATGACCTGCATGTCACTGTGTCATTAAGGGGAAAACACTGCATGAAACCTTCTACTCTTCAGTTAACACACACACACACACACACACACACTACCCCTCCTTTCCTCACACACTGTCTCCCTCTCTCGCTCTCACCCACAAACACACTGCTCCCAACTTTTTAAAACGTTAGGCACCAAACAGAATTTAAAAGAGCAGCAGAAATAAACAGATGTTTTCTAGTTGAGTCTTCCATTAGGCCTGTATGAATCACATCTCATGAGTAGCAGACCCTTTTCATTACTTCCTGGACCAATCAGATGTGCCTAGACCTACTGTCAAGTTACCAGGCTGTTAGCCATCTGGGTAACATGACTGAACAACGTTGTACGTTATCAAACCAATAATTAGCGACACGGGATTAGTTTTTTAAAAAATGGCCTGCAACATGGTTTGTGAAAATATATAAAATGCGTGCGAATCGCAATAAATAAATAAAAAAAGGCATCTCCTACAATAGGGGTCATATTTCTTTAACCATTTAGGCTCGAGACGAGCAGTTCTCTTTGCTGTAAAGCTGCCTGAGTGAGGGCTGGTAGGGAATGGGACTGCCTGCTGGCTGACGACGGCTGACGATGGCTGAGTGAGGGCTGGTAGGGAATGGGACTGCCTGCTGGCTGACGACGGCTGACGATGGCTGAGTGAGGGCTGGTAGGGAATGGGACTGCCTGCTGGCTGACGACGGCTGACGATGGCTGAGTGAGGGCTGGTAGGGAATGGGACTGCCTGCTGGCTGACGACGGCTGACGATGGCTGAGTGAGGGCTGGTAGGGAATGGGACTGCCTGCTGGCTGACGACGGCTGACGACGGCTGACAATGGCTGACGATGGCTGCCACACATGATATGCACATGAAAGTGAAGTGGATATTATTGGACCTGTGCATACAAGAGACTAGAGGCTGTTGCTTAAAAACCAAAAACGGACTTTATAAACATATTATTATACCAGGCGCCAGCAGGTTCTTTAGATAGGTAAGGCTGAAAAAGTTGGTAGTATCATATGAAAAAGGTACTACGGTATTCTAACATGTTGTTCATAAGTATCATGACGTTTTTTGTACCGTGATATTACCGTTGTGCTG